AGAGAGCCACTCGATATAGGTGCTCGACGTCGCCGCCGCACAGGTGCTCTTAACGAAGGTGACGACGATGATGACGATTTTCTTCCTCAAACCGTAGTAAGTAAATGTCCCCGGGCAGTGACACTTACTGTCTCAACTACCTCAACTATGACAACACTGAATCTATGATGGCAACAACATCCCAATCAAGGCATACACCTAACAGGACAAGTACAAACACTGCTTACATGTACATGTACAATAAATGTGGTCCATTGTGTCACTGTTCAACTGTGAGAAATTGTTGGTATTTTTACTGCCCAAATTATCACCAACTTTGTATGTCAAGAAATAATTGTGTTTTTTTATATGGAAAAATTGTTTTTCAGCTCCGCTGTCATCGAAGATGACCGAGCGGAGCTAGTCATATAGATGATTATCCGTCGGCATCTGGCCGTCCACAATTTCTTTAATCAACTTCTTTGAAACAGTAACTTAAATGCTTTCATATTTGGTATGTAGGTACCTTGGGTGGAACTCTCTCAGATTTGTTCATTTCGTGTCAAAATCTCACATTTATAATTTTTTGCTGAATATTTTTGTGATTTTGATCAAAATTTATATTTTCGACTTTTTCTTCGAACCGTGACTCTGAATGTGTGTAGGCAGCTTGGGTGGATTTCTCTCCGATTATAACTAATGCATTCAAATTTGATTTGTAGGTATTTGTTGAATGTTTTGTCATTGTTTGAACTGTCTAAATTTGTTTCTATTATATGTATTCTGACAGCGGAGCTGTTTAGACTGTAAGTTCGCTTGTTTTTAGAAACCCTACCTCATTTCCGGTTTCCACAAGGTCATAAATTGATTGAGTACTTTTTGATGTCACTTGAGGACAACAACCTTGTCCTATGAATAATTAATCTATTTTAGCGAATTTTTTGACTCTGATTCCTCATTGTGGGAGAATGTTGAATATTCATACTGTCCCTTTGGCAATTAGGCTTCACTACACTTGGGCACTCGACAAATAATTTCATCCAAACTTTGTATCATGATCATGTACACATCATAATTTTTTTGAGATTCAAATAAAAATGGCTGATTGGTGGCCATTTTTTACCATGCCTGTGCTGACTCCTCACCATTATGTTGAAAGTTTGCACACAGTTATTGTACTGGAATGTAGAATGAGTTTATGTTTAGTTTACATTTACTTAAATTTAATGTGAATTCAAGATCACTGATTGGTAGAATCATTGCTAATTTACTATTGGAATTCCATAACAGAATTGGGACTGTGTCATGTCAATAACTTATTGTGTTTTAAATAATCAAGTTCGGCAGGTATTGGAAATGCCTGGAGTGATTGTATTCTAACTTTGAATACACAAACTTTACATGCAACGTGTCAATGTTCATGTATTTTTTTTCTTTCATGATTCAATTTATGATGGTGTAATGTTGCCCATTTTAACCATTTGGGCGACAGATTTTTCCTCAAAATTCAGTGCAAATATTTTTACATTTTAAATAATTTTCTTTAATTTTCTTCATGATTTCGGACCATACAGACAGAATTTGACATTTATTATAGTTTTTGCTCTAAAGATTTGACAACGTTTATCATTTTATGTAAGGAGGGACAGACAGCAAGTTTTGTGGATTGTGACAAAAGTTGACAATGGCACTCAAAGGTTTAATGTTAAAATTGCTTCAATTCATCTTTTTTGCTATTCTGCAGCTGAATTTCAGTTGTGCATTCAAATTTTGTACAATCTCTTTTTTATTCAAATTTGGTGTGAAATGGCAATTGTCTTCACTTAACACAAGTACAAAACATTGAAATTATTGATTATCGATAATAACGCATTTGCCTGCCATCATCCATTTGGATTGTTTTTTCTAGATCATCCCATCGGCCTTGTTTCACACAATTATTTGCACCATGGTCATTACCATGAAATATTTACAAAGTCTGTGCATTATCAATGACTTTCAGTAGATTGTTCCTTTTGTAAATGTATGTTGTAGTAAATATTCTGGAGTGGTTTATGTGGTGGATGATGATGATACAACAGATGATATAGATGAAGATTTGCAGATTGCTATTGCTCGTTCATGTGCCAACACTACTGAATCTGACTCAAACAACTCAGGATATGGAAGAGTAAGTGTAATTCTAGCAAAAAGCCTTAACACCTCTGGTATACAATTTTTTGTTTGATCTTCATTTTGTGCAGTCTACAGATTCATTTCAATCTTTGTTTTGTTTTCCTTCTGAAATCACTACTATGTACATTCAGCAGGTACTTAACTACCATAGGGAAACTGTCATGGAAACAGTAGACAATGATGAGCTACATTTTCCAAGTGTAGAAATTTGTCAATTTCTTTTTTGGAGTAGTGCAGTAAGAGTACTTACTGATAATAACGACAGATACATTATTGATTGACGAAATTGCTGATGTTGATGCAAGAATGGTAGCTTATCAGGTATTCATTCGTCCATATCCAACAGTGTTAACAATGTTTATTAATTTAGTTGGCTCATGAGTGGGAACACACATTGAGAGTATGTTACAGATTTGTTCTTTCTTGAGGTATATGTACCTACTGTTTAACTTTGATATTATTATCATAATCTTTATTTTTATCGCATGCCGTTTGGGATTTTAATGTAAAATGATGTAATGATGCCACTTTGTTTTAACAAAATTAGTATAGAATTGCGATAAGCTCCTCCCCGATTATAAGCCCACCCTCTGTTTTTAGACATTTAACAGGTTGAAAGCATGTCCGAGTATAGGCTTATGGTGATTTTACCGGGCGTCAACGACATTTAATACAAATATGCATGTAAAAAGTGTATTTCATTGAATAATAATCGTGATTGGTACTGTAGTTTGGTTCCTGCTTTTACGAGAAAACTCGCATTAATTTCAGAGTGCATGGCCGGCGAACGTACGGAACATGGTTCGGACCTTTTCTATTCTGTTATTTACTCAGGATGAACCCCGATGCTGCAATACTGAAAAAAATCCATATTTCTTTTGAGTAGTAGTTTTAAAAACGCCGCAAATGTGATCGTCAAGTGGTGAAACCTGATTGAACATCGTTATTTTAATTTTCCGTATAATCGTGTCCATTGAGACTATCGTGAATGGACTGTGAACGAGCAAACTATTCTTCGACATGACTTGTTGGTGACCAAAAAAAGTTTAAATACTTCCTCCACCCTCAGTTTACCTTTCGAAAATTGAGAATCAACAGCTTTAGGGAAAAAATCACCGTTTTTTGTCGAAATCAGATCGCATTTTAACATCACGAAAATTCACTTCCGCATTGCGTTGAAAAAATGACTTCGTCATAAAATGTCCCATGCTTCTCATGCAGGTGTGCTAAATGTATTAGTCTGTGCATCAA